CAAAGCAATTTGTTTAGAAAACTAGAACCAAAAAACTTAAGTTATTCTTCTTTATGTCATTCCAAATTTCCACTATGGAGCAGCATAATCTAATTTACATTTTTACAAGCCACTGAGTAAAATATGTATTTTGACTTTATCACAAACCAACAATATTCTAAGTATACAGATTGGTATTTCAAATACTATTTGAATATGGCATCTAAATTTAGCAGCTTGCAGTGTAAGAATTAATTCAAAAATATACAATAATGGTCTAAGTTTTACGATTAAAAATTTTAACAGGGAAAAATTGTGACAAAGACAAAAATGTGCCTTTAATATTATTTGGCCTTTAGCAATTCTCATTCTTTTCAAAGCTATGGTACATAACCAGTGGCCACTGCAGTAGACTTTGTTAATGGTAAATAAAATTTCATCTCTATTCTTTAAATAGAATGGGCTCATTTTTATCCAAGGATTTGATATTTGACAATATGCAGGCTCCCCTGCAGAGAAGGTAAAAAGGATGCTACCTTGTTTCACTCAGCAGAGAAATACAAAAGGCAGTCATAATTTAAACAATCTGTCTGCAAGAGAAGGTGTATGGGAGAAAGCCAGACAATATTATTTGCAGTTCTCACTGCTCCTAGGTGGAGAAAATTCAGGGTGATTTTTTTCCCCTGGTACTCGCAAAGCCACTGACTTTAAGGGAATCAACACTGTATTCTTGATATCCTTCTAAGACGATAAGGTATGCTCTGGCTCAAAACAAAAAAGCCCCCAAAACTTGAACTGATGCCACAGCTTTGTGCTGAGGGATGTCAGACTACCTGATCATTATGCCTCCCTCTTAACAACATTTGAGGGGTGCAATGTGTGTGTATCAGCACACAATGACAGGCAGATGGTAAGAGACACAGACTATGCTCATCTATGACTCACTATTCTTCTCTGAACTCCATAGAAGCATTATATCTCATAACTATGCCATTGAAGTACTACATTTCTTCCTCTTAAGCAGCATAATACAACCCTTTAATCTCCAAAGGATGCATGATGGATACTATTTATGTAATAAAGAAACTAAAGCAGCCATGGCATTATTCAAAAGCCATCTAAAATCTGACTAGCTTTCCTGTTAGGTAAATATAAATCCATATTTTGTGTGTGATGCAAGAAAAGAAGCTTTGAACCATAATAATCAACAGGCTCTGAAACAAGCCACTTTCCAACAATGGGAAGGTAATAAAAGAAAATGTTTTGATAAGACAAGTGTTCTCATAAGGCAGCAAAAACTCACTCACTGCTCCTTGACAACTTTCCGTTTCATAAAAAACTTGCCTCTCTCAGCAAACGGAAATCCTGAAAATAATTCCATGTCTCCATGAACTAGACACATCATTAAATCAGATGTACTGAATGAGATCATTTATATGAAGTCAGTGATTTTTAAAATACTGTTGGACCTAACACCCAGGCACTGATTTACATAAGCAAGCAAGCAAGCAAAATGGATATTTTTTGTTCATTAAGTTAAAGTCTCTTATTTTCTTCAAAGAAAATTTCAATAGTCACAGAGTGAGCAAGAGGCTCTCTCTTGGATAATGGGCTTTGATTTAGCATTATTTCCATTTTATATTGATTACATGCTTTAATCACATCAACTGAAGAAAAAGAAAATAGGAGCTATGTAATCTAATAAATTTGATCAATATTACTAGACTGCTTTGCTACAAGCAGCCTCCACAACTGCCATTTAGCATAACGAAGAGTTTCATAAGAGAGCATAAGAACACAGCCAAGTGCTAAAATGATCTACTCCATTCTCAAGTCCCAAAAAGTCTTGGCTAAAGGCATGCCAATAGACTGTGAACATGTCTTGGCATGGAAGCAGACATATTCCTGCCTCTCGCCCATTTGGTAACATGTATGCCAAGCCAGAAGCAACTATGGGCTTGTTCAGTAGACTGAATCTATTTCTCACATGGAAAATATAATTAGAAAGCCTATACAATGGTTCTTTTAGAAACCTTTAGCAAGTTAGGACTATCTCCCTATCATTTCCCAAAAGTCCTTAGAGCAGAAGCATTTAAAACTTCCAAAGTAAAGCTCTCTCAATTAAGGGCCCTGGCTCTTCAAGGAGCTCTCTGAAGGCAAGATCCCTGTGCAACGTTCCCCTGTGGCTTTCGTGGGGCTCCTATATTTGATTCTCAAAGAGCCAGAACGTCAGCACTGTTTTCAGAAGTCTCTCTAAAGCCCCACTGGTTTCAACCTATTAACATTCTAAAGTATTTTTCTTATAATGACATTTCTAAAAAGAAAAAAAATATGGATCAAGCCTATTTATTTTTAAATTTCAACTGCTCTGAATCTGTGGGAGGACAAGACTGTAACAAATCACAAGGTAATTCTCTCAGACTATGGGGTTTAAAAACCAACCAACCAAAATTACAAACTTTTTTAATATAATGACTGAAAGGGAAGAGATCCGCCAACTGCATTATTATAAACAAAAGGTCAGCATGAATAAATCATGTCTCAGGACACGGGGACACTGGAATTGGAGAGGGGTCCATGAATCCAGGGTCCCGGTACCCTGGGACTTCTAGAAGCCAAGCATGCAGCCGGATTACCCAAGGGCAGGCTAATAATTAGATGATTGTCATACCTGCCCCAACAGCTCCGGGTCTTGAACTGGACTCCGGATGGTCAAGGCTGAGTTTGACAAGCAGCTAATTGTCATACCTGGCCCCAATACTTCTGGGTCTCAAATGAACCTAATCAGGCTGAGGGCAGCTCAGCAGTGCTGTGACTGGGACCAGAAAAATATTATGCCCCATTCTAAACGTTGAGCCTCCTGCCATGTACATCTCGTGTGGGAGGAAGCACAAATGTTTGAGATGTAACATAAAATTCCCCTGGTCTCAATCACAGCATCATTTTAATATCATTCAGAGGCCTTATGTTACCTATATGCCATGGCATTTCAGATAGTCTAATTCACAAACAGGTCATTATTTCAGCTGGAGAGACGCATGTCTTTTGGTGAGCTGTCGAAGCTCCATCCAACCTCCATGCTCCCACCACCCCACTGGGTGCAGACTCAGCACTACCACCAGTCCCTGCCCCATGCTACACGCTCCCACCCGGTTGCAGCTCCCCCTCTCCCTCTCTCCACTTCTCAACCTGGTGCCTGGAGTGGGACACCAAGGAAGCTGAGCAGGTCCCCAGGCGGCTGCAGCAGTGGCAGCAGCAGCCCCACCTGGAAGCTGTGCGCTGGCTGGGCCAGGCCCTTCCGCACACCAGCATGGGAGCGAGGCACACGGGCTGAGCAAGGTACTATTAGTTGATGGGCACCCGCAGGCTGGATAATATTGCCTGGCAGGCCAGATCTGGCCCACAGGCTGTATTTTGCCCACCCCTGTTCTATTTGGATGTAAATATAATGAAGGGGTGGGGGGAGGGAGCAGCTATCAAAGATACGGAATAATAGATTAAGGACCAGATTTTACTAAGAGTTAAGTGTTTTAATACCTTGAAAAATTTCATCCCGTGTTCTACTCTTATGTACCTTATGAGACAGCTGGACACCCAAGTCCCTTCTGGCTAATTTTTCATAGGAAAGTGAAACTGAAAGGATATTCTGGATCATCCAGAGTAGATCTTGCTATCAAAGACAACCTTTTCATATAAACCCTTTCATAAATCATATAGGAGTTAAGAGGTCAAAACTTCCGCATTGATTAGATAACTCTTATTTCCAGACTAAATTTATTAACAGCTAATTTATACCCATTTGTTCTTGGGCTGGCATTGTATGACACTTTAAAATTAGATTATAAACTATCCAAGGCAGCAAACAATTCTTCTTATGTAATTGTATAGCCCTTACTTCAACAAGTCCCAAATCATGAGCGGAGACTTCAGTTGCTATGGCAATACAATAAATAATAAAAGATGGTTTTACAGCTCTGCTATCCTGCTTCTCCACTAACATATTTTTTGAATTAAAGCAAGTGCACTTACATGAAATTTGATCAAATAAATTCTTCTGCCACTGGCTGACCCAGCAGCACTTTTCCATCTATGAGTTTCATGATTCTATAATAAGATGCTCATCTTAGTCTACAAGTGCCCATTTTACAGGCCCTTAATCTTGTTTATGTTTTCATCTGTACTATGGGACATTTGCTGAAAAACAGGACACACTATCAAGAGTCTATGCCCTCTAGACATTTCTTTCTCCCAAGGAGGTAATCTATTCAAAATGTTTTTAGATGTTTTTGAATGCTAGTCATTCTTGGAGTGCTACTTTCCCTAGCACAGCTTAAAAATTGTACAATAATCAGTGCCCAACATGGAGAGCAATAAAATCCCTGTGCTCCCTAGACACCACTAATTTTTGGAACAAGCCATTAAATACTAATCTTCAGTTTTTGTTTTTTTTATAGCCAAGATGTTTCTTAGCATAATGATCTTCTGTCAGCGAAGTCTCATGCAAGTAACACTTGTATCAAGACCTTTCCAATCATAGCCCAACCTTATTTATAAAAAATATTTCTTGCATTTTACAGTCTCCTGTGTGCTATAAAAAAAAAATCTTGAATTCAAGTAGCTTTCAACTGAGACATTAAAGTATTTTTAATCTGAACCATACAGACCACAACAGAACCATCCACAACCCTCAACACTGCCAGGTAGCTGAATTTATTTGAAATTGGAATTCACTTAATTTAGGTGTTTCACTTCTGTAGAGGCAAAACTAGTAAGAAAAATACAGAAAATACAAAGCCTGAAGCAAAAGAAAAAAAGCTTAATGTTCACCAATGTCTGATAACACCAAACTGTTTATAATATGGAGGCATTCCACTCGCACACAAAAAGGAGAACGAACCCACGGTAAAAGCTGACCCTTCCTGAGAAAATACACTCTCAACCCTTATCTAAGGAAAGAGACAGCTTTAAATAAATCATGGAGAGAAAAAAGAATTGCAGATGGAAAAATGGAGATCACTCACCCAAGCACCTGTAGGGAACCACGATATGAGGCTGACTCTTGCACTGCTTCCGTCCCCTTTTGCACCAGTTCTGGATTGTCACAGGCTGGTTGGCTTCAACCACATTGGTAATTTGCAGTTCAGGATAAACCTAATATTCAAAATACAAAGAGAACAAATGCAATTTAAGGCACACTTACTGGGCCATTTAATATTATTACAGGTATTTGTAATAGGCACCAGTGATGTTCATATGCATGCCTTCCCCTTTTGTTATATACTACACAGCCATCTTTACTTTGTAATATTTCATGTTATGAATTTTCACTGTATCCATTCATGTAAGAAGGAACCAGGTATTATTAAAAAGCAAATTTATCTATCTGCTAAACTGGAGACAGCTGGCTTTTCCTTTTCATTAAGACTTTAAATGCCTCTCTTGACTCTATCTACGCATGAATTAAATGCATCATTCCCTTGTTACCCTTGCAGATGAACACCACCAAAAGGAACTGATACTTTAACAGTCTAATGCATCCAGTTTGGCAACCTTAATGAAGAAGTCAGATCAGTCCTTCACCTTTTTCAGTGAAGTTATCCTACACTCAGAGCATCCCTTTCCCTCGCCACTTTTTGCATTAAGAACGTCAGATCTGAATTGCCCTTTACAGTCCACATCGTCTCTCACCCTAATGATTTGCTGAACCACTTGCCCATATTTCTGACTTGCTTAAAATCACTCATCTATTCTAAATGCTACATGTACTCACAACCACACTGTGATAATCCCTGAAAGAAACTGCAAAGTTACTGCCATTCATAATTTCAATTCACCCATAGCTGTGATTTCATCTCTTCTTCCATCCACATACCACCATCCTCACTCCCTGACCCTCAACATCTTTCTTGTTATCAGTTTTGGCCGTGCTCTCCTCTGTCAGAGATCAGTTCTTAGCTGTTAACAACCTGTCTGGCACAGTTCACTAACCTCACAGTAACCATCAGTTTCTCTATCCCTTTCTCTGGAGAGAGGCAAGAGCTCATCTCTCATGCTGTTTTCAAAAAATTATCTGTTAAAACAGTCCTAACATGGAGCTCATCATGATACTTATTTCCCTTTACTTTTATTTGCAACCATACCAACCAATTTCCAACACACTCTAAGTGTTGTGTATGAAGACACTTACAAGAACATACAGTTCTTAGGCCTTAGAATTCTGTTTACGATAAAGGGCTACTTGTTTCAGTGTTTTTCAGCAACTGGAAAGTCAATATTGTGAAACAGAATTCACCTTAAGACAAAGGCAAAGAACAAGGAACCCCCTTTGTCGGAAGCATGGAGTTTTAATGGTTCTAAATCAGAACTGAGACTCTTCTAACACACAGTTTCATAGTTTCTCCTTCTGACCCTAGACACTATGAAACTACGAAACTTCTCATAAGACTCAAGGCACTTCTCAGAAAATGCCAGCTCTTAGGTTTTCACTCATTTTTGACTATGGAAAAATAATACAGCAATTCTTCTGTTGCAAGTGCTCTACAATAGGTCAGAAATTTTTAACACTATGGATCCCTATTTGAAAATTTTGCATTCATCTTGTGTCTTGTGTATGTGTTTGCCCACCAAACATGAGCAGCACCTTTAGAAGGATCTCATGGCACCCCAGGGTGCCCTGGTACCCTGGTCAAGAACCACTGGTCTAGACGAAATGTCTATTACAGACTCTTATTAAGCGTTTACTCTCTTGAAACTAGCGTGAAAGTCAAACACCAGACCTCTAACACAAATACAATGCTGGCTTACTTAAAGATAATGGATTGAAAGGCTTTATGAACTGACGTCAGTACCAGGTTTTAGAGATTAAGTGGATGGAAAGAATAGTAAGGGAGAAAGTGCAAAGAAGAATACAAGGCATCATCTAAATTCCTATTAAAGAAAATGGAAATGTGTTGGCCAGATACTAATGAGCTGAGACAAGCCCTACAGTGGAACCCTCCAGAAGACCAAAAACGGCCTAGCGAAGGAGAATATACCAGGAGCTAGAGGAAGCTAGACTGAAATTGAGCCAAGTCAAGCAGCAGGCCAAAGGGCAAAAATGGGAAGACGATTGTTGTGGAAGTCCTATACTCCCTTTCCCAAAGCAAAGGGAATTAATTTTAACAATCTGTAGTCTGGTACTGTGTAGACACTTAGAATAAGAACCCATTCTGCTAGACACAGTTTCACAGTAAGAGAAGGCCCCATTCACTGCAAAGGATTTAAAATGTGAAAAAAATGTGCAAGTCAGTTAAAAAAAAGTACAATATATATTTTAAACTAAAGCTAAATTTTAAAAAGCTTTACACTGAAATGGCAATGGCTAGTAGTATCTTTGCACTTTTTATTCTTCTCTCTGATTAGCAGTACTTTAATTCAAGTGGCTTGGGATAGTATGTATGCATAGGATGGGAAGCAGCATAAACATAAGCTTTGAGCTAATGAAACCAGACAGTTTTCTGCTAATGGTCAGCAAAAGAGACTAAATGAAATATTGTACAGCTACACTGTACGCTATGATTAAAACATATTATACAATTACTTGTAAATAGCTTGTTACATGTAAATCAAGGGCAGTTACTTTACTTTGCCTATGGAAGATGACCAATTATGCAATGAAATAGTTACCTAATTCCCCAGAGCTAGAAAACCAACACACTAAGCCAAACATCCATATCCAATACAGTGAACACCACCCTGGCTACTTATATCACAAATATGATGAACAGTACCACCGAGCCAATCCTGTTCTTATAAGCAAGTATCTACAAAAACACAGCCATTTGAATTTTCGTTTATGAAAGTTTACATCCAAACACCATTGCCACTGTGTTCTCAAGTCCCTATACTAAGAGATAAGAGGCTTGCAAGTGTGGATGATTTTCTACTACATAGTTAGGGTGCACACACACGACCCGTTTATTATACAATAACCTCTGTAAAAGTGAAGGAGACGCACAATGAACAATCTTAATGTGGTGTAAGACTCTCTCTTCCAAGATAAAAAGACCCAAGAAAATATGCAGCAATTTTACCCTGGGTGATTTACTAGGGACTAAATCATGCGTTTGCCTCCCTACTCCACTTCATTTCAGAGTAGCTATTTGTGCAGGAAGATTAGCAAGTATGGCAAAAGACCAGCTTGGCTTAGCACAGAACTCTTCAGTGAGCTAAAACACAAAAAGGAAGCTTGTTGTGGAAGCTTGGACAAATGACTAGGGAGGGGTATAATAGTGTTGCTGGGCATGCAAGGATGAAATCAGGAAGGCCAAAGCACAACTGGAGTCGCAACTAGGAAGGGACATGAAGCGTAACAAGAAGGGTTTCTACAAGGATGTTAGCAACAAGTGAAAGATCAGGGAAAGTGTGGGGCTTCTTTAAGAACAGGGGAGGCAACCTAGCGACAAATGATGTGGAAAAGGCTGAAGTACTCAATGCCTTTTTTACCTCGGTCTTAACAGGCAAGGTCAGCTCAAGACTACTGTACTTGGCAGCACAGTTTGGTGAGGAAATGAGCAGTTTGCCAGGAGCAAAATAACAGATTAGAGACTATTTAGAAAAGCTGGATGTGTACAAGTCCACAGGGCCAGACATGATGTACTCAACATTGATGTGGGAGTTGGCTGATGTGATTGCAGAGCCGCTGACCATTATCTTTGAAAACTCATGGTGATTGGGAGAGGTCCTGGACAATTGGAAAAGAGCAAATATAATGCCCATCTTTAAGACAAGGAAAGAAGGAGGATCCAGAGAACTACAGACCAATCAGCCTGACCTCAACCCCTGGAAAGATCAAGGAATCCATTTTTAAGCATTTGAAGGAGAAGATGATGATTAGGAACAGTCAGCATGGATTCACCAAGGGCAACAACCTGATTGCCTTCTATGATGAGATGACTGGCTCTGTGGATACAGTGAGAATAGTGGACATGACATACCTTGACTTTAGCAAGGCTTTTCATATGGTTTCCCACAACATTTTCACAAGCAAGCTAAGTACAGGTTGGATGCTGGACAGTAAGATGGACAGAAAACTAGCTGAATCGTCAGGCTCAAAGGATAATGATCAGTGTCTCAATGTCTAGTTGGCAGCCAGTATCTAGTGGAGTGGCCCAGGTGTCAGTCCTGGGGCCAATTTTATTCAATATCTTCATTAATCACCTGGAAGATGAGACAGTGTGCCCTCAGCAAGTCTGTGGATGACACCAACCTGAGGGGGACAAATAGATATGCTGGAGGGTAGAGCTAGGATTCAGAGACCTCAACAAATTGGAGGATTAGACCAAAAGAAATCTCATGAAGTTCACTAAGGACAAGTGCAACGTCCTGCACTTAGGATGGAAGAATCATATCCATCAGTACAGACTGGGGGCTGGCTGGCTGGGCAGCAGCTCTGCAGAAAAGGACGTGGGAGTAACAGTGGACCATAAGGTGAATATGAGCCAACAGTGTACCCTTGTTGCCAAGAAGGCTAACGGCATGCTGGGCTGCATTGGTAGGAGGGTTGCCAGCAGGGCAAGGGGAATGATTATTTCCCTCTATTCAGTACTGGTGAGGCCACATCTGGAGTACTGTGTTCAGTTTTGGGCCCCCCACTACAGAAAGGATATAGACACAATTGGAGTGTCCAGAGGAGGGCAATGAGAATGGCTAGTGGGCTGGGGCACATGACTTCTGAGCAGGGGCTAAGAGAACTGTGTTTACTTAGTCTAAGGAAGAGAAAACAGGGGATTTAATGGTAGCCATCAACTAGCTGAGGGGTGGCTACAAAGAAGATGGAGTTAGACTGTTCTCAGTGGTGGCAGATGACAGAACAAGGAGCAGTGGTCTCCAGTTGCAGCAAGAGAAGTTTAGGTTAGATATTAGGAAAAACTCTCACTAGGAGGGCAGTAAAGCACTGGAACAGGTTGCCCAGAGAGGGTGTGGAATCTCTATCCTGGGAGGTTTTTAAGACCCGGCTAGACAAAGCCTTGGCTGGGATGATCTAGTTGGGGATGGTCCTGCTTTGAGCAGGGAGTTGGACTAGATGACTTCCTGAGGTCCCTTCCAACTCTAATTTTCTATGATGCTACAATCTGTTCAGTGTAAATAGCCATCTCTCTCACTAGTGGCCA